TACGAACCTATAACATGGACGCAGCCTCACAGGCGTGCAGAAGACAACACAACCGAAACCATCAAAGGGAACGTGGACATCTGCCCATCGGGGCATAGTTAGAAACCTGAGCTGCTGTGTCATCTTCCCCTCCCCTCTCTGAATCCCGGATGCCTAGTGAATGGGACTGTCCGCTGCGACCATCTAATTGAGCACCGAGGTAGTAAGTACTGTTGTAACAACAATTACGATGACAGGCTTTAGCCCCTCCTCCGCCCTCACCTTGCACCCGGCGCTGAATGTTTATCTGTATTATAACTTAATCCTTGTAATGATCCCGAGTTCGGTATTAGGTATAGGATTAGTTAGGTATTAGTATTACCTAACCTGAGTTAGTACCGTAATACTAACACAGTTATATATAGTTATACTCATAGAACTATAAAACTGATCACAGTGATTAATAAATTTGCTTAGAGTACATGTTCTTAACCACCAGGTGCTCTATCTTCATTACTCCATTTCATCTTCAAAACAACCTTGAGAGGTGTTATCCACTCTATTTTTGCAGATGAAGAAATTAAGGATCAGGGAGATTATAATTTGCCCAAGGCCCCCTAACCAGTGAGGAGAAGGGTCCGTGTTAAACCTGACCGCAAAGCCCGCTCTCCTCCCTCCCCGCCACACCACCGCCAGTGAAGATGTGGGGTCGCTGATGGAGAAGAGCCCCGGCAGGCTCAGGGCAGTTCGTGTTTATAAGTCACTTCCAACAGTGGCTTAGTGACAGAAGGAGGTGATTCTCTAGGCAGGGGATATTGTGACAGAACTAGGGGTCACAGGTCCCGGAAGAATAGGAGTGTGGAAGTAGATGGTAGAGGCGGCCGATGCCTTCAGAGGGAATCAGGATTTGGGAAAAGGTGAACCGACTGAGCCAGTTAGCAGAGCTTACAAGACATGCTCTTCTCCTGGTTGTGGGGCTGCCCTTTGAAGCAGACTCTTCTTTTGCATTTGTAGGGACCCTGGCTGGGCCAGGCTGATAGCCCACTGGCTGCAGGCCAGAAATGGTTCCCTCCTGGGTTGTGATTTCAGTCACTTGCTGCTCCAGCCAAGTGAGCTGAAGGACCACAGAAGACAGACCTCTTGTCATGTTACTGTTCTCAGAAGTCTGGGATGATAGGAATGCAATAAACTTGCAGCCAAGGGAAAACCTAACCCTAGGTACACATGCACGCGCACGCACACACCCCCCCCCCACATATTTGTCAATTGATCCAGATGTATTTTTGATGAATGATAAGTGGGGCTTTCCAAGAATCTGGCAAAATAACACTCGAAAGGGTTTTGGCATAGCCTTAATATTCGTGAGGGCTCTTAACCTCCTTATGTTATCATTTTGCCAAAATAATTATCAGAGCAGCAGAAAGGGGCTTTCCTTAGGGGGTTTCTAAACAGGGGTCTGGTCACTTTATCCATCCTTAAATTTATAGTCCCAAAGAAAAATAACAACCTTAAACTTATCCCCCTGGGGCCTTTCTACATTTAAGAGGGAGGACCTATATGGGGGAGAGAAACAGTGACTACTTCATCTTAATCATTCACTGAATTTATCTGGTGTTGAGAATGCCTAGAGAAAACACTCTTTAAATTTTTAAAATAAAACGTTATGCAATTTTAATCAGCACTCATTAGAACCGATTTTAATGACCTGCTAACAAAATATTCCAAATGCAGTATGTTTTGTGATGGCAGGATTGTGTCACTTCACTGGTGGGACCCCAGTGCTCAGAGGAGGGCCTGGCACATAGCTAACACTCAGTAACTGTCAAGCAACTGTTTTCCTGGGGGCCCTTCCTCCTCGGTGACCTCTTTGATGATGCTGATGCTGATGGCCGTGCTATGTACTTGGGAAGCAGTGTCCATTAATTTTCCCAACAATGCTACCAAGTAAATATTATGGCCCCCATCTTACACAGGAAGGAGAAGTGAAGTTTAGTGAAGCTCTGTGACATGCTCAGGTCACACTAGAACCTGCTGAAAACTGGTAGAGCTTGGATTCCAACTGAGGCCTCCTGGTTTCTGGAGTTGAATTCTTTTTTTTTTAAGATTTTATTTATTTATTTGAGAGAGAAAGAGAGATAGAGAATAAGTGAGAGGCAGGGGGAGAGGCAGACTCCCCCCTGAGCAGGGAGCCTGATGCGGGGCTCGATCCCAGGACCCCGAGATCATGACCTGAGCCCAAGGCAAGATGCTTAACTGACTGAGCCACCCAGGCGCCCCAAGGAGTCTGAATTCTTAACCACTGTTCTAGACTGCCTGTAGATTAGGCAGTGGTTTGAGATGGTAAACCTGAATTCTTGCCTGGAGTCAAGACGAAGATCATTTTTGGCAAGTGTGTGGCAAGACGAAAGCATTTCTATTCCACTCCACATTTCAGTGGAGGTCATATTTTTTGTGACCCAGCCCTTCAGAAACTCACCACTGTGACTGCAGAGTGATTCTAAAGTTTATCCGTAAGTTCCACTTTTGCCTCCTCCCACCCCAACACAAAGTGGGAATGAGGGTTCCAGACTAGCTCATAAGAGCCAATTTAACTCCTAATGAAAACAGCGTATCTGCAGTGATAAACTAGTAATGAAATGGACTGAAAAGTGTACCATTTAGTAAGATATAATTCATAAAATTAATTTTTGGTCAAGGAAATACAGACTTAGTGGAGAAAAGAGATGTTTTAAACAATGAAGGAGACAAGGATGCTTTCATAAAGGCTTTTAGATACAGGTAACGCTGGCCCTTTAATTCCAATTTCTCTTTGAAACCTGGCTTTCCTGTTCCTTGTACCTTAGATACTGGTGATATCACGCGGCATTCTCAGACTTGACACCATCATTAGATTGAGCTGGTGCACAATTTAGAACAAAAGATGGAGGGAGGTAAAAGGGAAAGAGCATGGGAGGGGTTCCTGGTGGGTGTTGGTTGGGGCTGGGGTGAGCAGAAGAGATGAGAGAGGGCAGCAAAGGGAATGTGCGGCAGAGATGATAAACACGTTCTTTACTTATTCAGTTTATTGAGCATCTTTGCACCCAGTGTTGTGCTCACAAAGTCTGGGTCCTCATGGAGCTTAGCATTTTTTGTGTGGGGAAAAGAGACAATAAACAAGTAAACAAATATATAAAACAATGAATAAAATAATGAACAGTGGTGGTAGCCAGAACAAAAGTAATGAGGCACCAAACTGGAAGGGAAGTCTTCTGGAGGATGTGATGTGAAAACCTTGCATGAGAAAGAGCTAGAAGAAAAGCCTTCAGAGACAGGGTCGCGCAAGAGCCAAGGGCCTGGAGAGAAAAAGAGCCTGGCACGTTCTAAGAATCGGACAGAAAGCCTGTGTGACTGCGACTCGGTGGTTCAGATGGAGAGTGAGAAGTGATGAGTGAGAAGAGGTAGGACAGGCTCCATGAATGACCTTGAGGGCCAAGCTGGGGGGTTAGAATTTAATTCTAAGTACAGGGGCGCCTGGGTGGCTCAGTTGGTTAAGTGACTGCCTTCGGCTCAGGTCATGATCCTGGAGGCCTGGTATCGAGTCCCACATCGGGCTCCCTGCTCAGCGGGGAGTCTGCTTCTCCCTCTGACCCTCCTCCCTCTCATGCTCTCTCTCATTCTCTCTCTCTCAAATAAATAAATAAAATCTTTAAAAAAGAAAATAATTCTAAGTACAGGGGGAAGCCACCGGGGGCTTTTTTTTTTTTTTTAAAGATTTTATTTATTTATTTATTCATAAGAGACAGAGAGAGAGAGGGAGAGGGAGAAGCAGGCTCCCGCTGAGCAGGGAGCCCGATGCGGGACTCGATCCCAGGACCCTGGGATCATGACCTGAGCTGAAGGCAGACGTTTAACCATCTGAGCCATCCAGGCGCCCCGTCACTGGGGGCTTTTAAGGGACGGAGTGACAGGGTCTGCCCGGAGCTACCGTAAAGATGGCCCCAGCTGTGGGAGGAGGTCAGAGAGTGGCTGTGCTCATGGTGGCACATGGCCTTTTGTCCCTTGTTAGAGGCCCTGCACAGACTGGCAAATAAGACTGTCACTTGCCATTAGGCATGTTCCAGCTGTAAGGACCCTCAGGGTAAGTAATGTGGTTTTTGAGCCTTTGGGATTTCACGAAGCAGTAGACAACAAAATTGGGGGCTCACAGACTGTTGCAACTTTCTATTTAGCTAAAGCAAGTAAAAACTCAGCTGCCATCCGTGATCACCTTCATGTCATAAAAGATGAGATATTTTAAAGCCAAAAATATAAGGACATAATCTCAGGGGGGGAATCTAATTTTATAGAAAACACTATACTTTCTTTTCCTTTTTCTTTTTTTTAAAGATTTTTTATTTATTTGAGAAACAGAACGAGCACAAGCAGAGGGGAGGAGCAGAGGGAGAGTGAGAAGCAGGCTCCCTGCCGAGTAGGGAGCCCAAGGCGGGACTCGATCCCAGGACCCTGAGAACATCACCTGAGCCGAAGGCAGACGCTTAACAACTGAGCCACCCAGGCGCCCCGAAAATACTACACTTTCCTTGTATTTTCAACATTTTGCTTCAGAATCAGTGAAAACCTCCTTCCAGACTGGGCACACATCCACACAGTGGTATTCCGAACATCGGTATTTACGAACCACTGAGCCTCCACCCCATCTCCCAGATGAAGAACCTGAGGTTCGGGGGGCATGTGGCTTTCTCAGGGTGAGGAGGGGAGTTAAGGGCAGAGGGCCACAGCCTCCGTCTCCTGACTGCAGGTCCATCCTCCTTCCATCATCATGCTGTATACACCCGCTTATTTCTTCTGCGTTGCCAAGGTTCCAACACCGCACCGTGGGTTCCTGTCCAGCGCGAGCTACCACGGCCGTTGCTGCATCCCTACCAGCTTTCCCAAGAGCTCAGGTGCTTATCAGGACACAAGCCCTCAGCAACCAGCTCTCAGCCCGCAGCCTGACAAAATGGAACCCTTTTCTCCGTAAGGAAGAATAAGGTGCGTCTCACCTGATCTTCAGATACGCTGCGACTCCAAACACCAACAACACCACGGCAATGACCGTCACCGTAATGGCGGCGATGCTGCCTGCAGGGGAGGAGAGGCAGAGGGAGAAGATGAAGCAAGGGCATTCACTTCCATCGGTCTGCACAGAAGTCAGAGCTGGAACGGAACCCGGGATCTTTTCTTTTTTTTTAAAGATTTTATTTATTTGACACACACAGAGAGAGAACACAAGCAGGGGGGAACGGCAGGCAGGGGAGAAGCAGGCTCCCTGCTGAGCAGGGAGCCCGATGCGGGGCTCGATCCCAGGACCCCGGGATCGTGACCTGAGCCGAAGGCAGACGCTTAACGACCGAGCCACCCAGGCGCCCCAAAACGCAGGATCTTAATTCTGTTACCAATACGCTTCTCAGGCTCTGAGAGATTGGGTAAATGGCCAACTTTATTAAGACCGTGTGGCTGGCCTGGAGTTCCGAAAACAGTCTCCAGTGATATTTGTTGTTTTAAGAACGACAGCAGGCCGTTTGCTGCTGCTGTCACCGGTGACAGGGGTGGGGGACTGCAAACCTCCCGACATCCTGTTTTCTTCTTTTATAGGCTCTGGCTCCTCTCTCCACCTTCGGGAGATCTTGGGAGGCTTGGGATGTTCTATTCAAGGGTCACTACAAAGTAAGTGGTTGGTTTTTAAATAAACCAGAACCACACAGCTGTATCAGCAGTGTCCACTTCAAAAGGATCATCTTGGTAGGAGATGCACTCATTTTAATGATGCCATCAAGTCAAAGCATTTTTTAAAAAAACTCCTTTTTGGGAAGTGTGTTGAGTTTTCATCCTCGAAAGGTAAATTTGATTTTGTAGAGACGAAAGTCAAGTTTGGTGTAAAACTACGGTCTGGTCTGAGAGGTAACACTATTTTCTGTGTATGGAAATTACCACGTGTAATTATAAAGTAACATGAATGTTTTATTGTGTAATTTGAAATCTGGCTCCAAAGGCAACTATTAATGGGCAGTTAAAAACCCTTTGAGCAGGTAGCCTTGTAGGAACAACCACACTGCTTCCCAAGATTACTACTTTGAAGCACAACACTCTTTTTTGTGTGAGCTTTGGACCAATAATGTATTTACTTCAGCTTTATTCTACCTGAGAAATGCAAAGAATCAATTGGGCTCTTGTCCCCTAAGAGTGAAAGTGACTTTTTTGGCACTAAACCTGGTGTTAGGGACACCATGTACTCTTTCAGGCCACTGGGAAACTGTTTACTACTTCAACAAATGAACGGGACTCTTAACCGCACTGGAAAGAGCATCAGAGATCTAGAGTCCGAATATGTGGATTCAAGTGCGCCTCCATCATTCGCTGCGTATGTAACATGGGCTATTTAGGTAACACTGACTCGCATGCCATTCACCTGCAGCAACCGAGAAAGAAGAGCTGCTCCCTCTGCCCCCATGACTTTAGCAGGGATTAAATGAGGTGCCACGTACACCGAATGGAAGTCTTATCCAAAATGTACCGTCCTGGACCAGTGCCCACCTGTCGTGTACTGGATCTCAAGGGTGATGGATCTGCCCCCACATTTTTGGAGACTTGTCGTTTGTAGATTATTTTGTCATTTCTCCTTTTCTTTCTTTCCCTCTCTTACGAATGGCTTTTGTATATTGTTCTTCTCATTAGCCCTTCCACCAAAGGAATTAGAACAGAGCTAAGAAGCAAATCAGTCTAGTTATTAACTCTTTAGTAACTCCCCAAAAGTTCTGAGTGAAAGAAGGCTACATCAAACATCCATGCTCTCTCTGCTGGTTTAGAATTTCTAAAAGAGAGCCAAAGAGGTCCACTGCTAACTAACACTGAGGCTAAGGCCAGAGCTTGATGTGTCCACACAGGCTGACCACATTCCACCCTTTCAGAGCTTCCACACATGTGGACGCTCACATCCCCACCTCCTTGCTCCTGGAACCCTTCAGAGCCAGATTCGTGTAATTATCAGGTTAATTCTCTTCCCCTTTTTTTACCACCGTAAAGACAGAATTATGGCACGGAATGCTCAGATGTGCAGATCCGATCGATGTAGAGAAAGTTCAAGGTCAGATCCCCTTATGGAAAACTTCCACCCCTGCTTTGAAAGGCTGCACTTAGCTTCACGGCCTCCAAACTGTGCTGAGATTAGAACAATTCAAAGTTCACTGAAGCCTCTTAAAAGCTCTTTTAAGAGCTTGTGAAATGAGGATTATGACTGCAAGGTAAGGTGATGGGGGCCTTTCAAGATTCAAAGAGATACAGTGGTTGCAATTAGGAGCTGTTTAAAAACTGACCTTTAAATTTAATTTGCCCCTTCCAAAAAAAAAAAAAAAAAACAGGAGAAGAGACAGACTATAGTTGATTTCTCTATAAGACTTTTCTTTCCTGTGCCAGCAGAGTTTAATACAGGAAACTGTAGGTTTGACCTTTTTCAAAGTTTCTTTCGTAACTCTAGGCAGTTGGATCGCCTCCAATTCTGCGATTTACTGGATATATTTATACGTCGCCTCTTTCTAAAGATAAATCAGGCAGTTCCCCAACTCAAGTGCTGTTCTTTTTCAAAACAAGGCAAGTGACAGAGTGACCCGCTGCCCCTCTCAGTGGCTGGTGGCTGTCTTCTAGCTCTCGATGTAGCCCCAATCCTCAAATGGGGCTCTCAAGGCCATCCTTCCTTGTTCACAAAGGGCAGCCTCTATGACCAGACCAGGGATTAGCAGGTGATTCTCCCCCGATGGGCTCCTGAGGGCAGCTGAGCAAAGGGGCACTCCTGAGGGTTGGTACTGCTGGATATGAGGCCAAGACGTGTGGGGTAAAATAGGCTGTACTGAAATATTCAGGACATCTTCTTAACTATTCTGCCAGCCGCCGTCTCTTCTCACGGGGTGCCAGCCACGGGAGCCAGGGTCCCTTGGAAGTCGCTCTCTATCAGGCCCTGAGCCTAGGAGGTCTTGTGGGCTGAGCCTGCTCTGACCCCCAGAGCGGCTGCTACCTTCAGAAGCAGCCAGGAACCTCATCCTGGGAAGTTCCGTACCTCAGGGCGTCATGGTTCGAGCATATGAGGGGGTTGCTGAGCCAACATCAGCACAATTTTTATGGTAACTGAAAAGGCTTGATTTCCTCCTTGTGAAAACAAATGTCATCCCCCCCCCACCCCGCCCCCGAGTTCTGTTTAAACTAAACTGGAATTCCCCTTCTCCTCCTACTGACTCTTTTTTCAAGGAGGGGCAGGGAGACAGAGAATGAGGAAGGTGTGGTTGGGGCAGCGAAGCCTTTGCCCTGTGAGGAAGGTATGGCCACTTGGTGGGCAGGGCGCTGAGCGCAGGGGATGGGAAGGTGGCTGGCATTTCGGTTCCTCCTCAATGGGACATGCTCCTTACAGACTGGGTGTGGCGCATGCTGAAGAGCCCTGGAGCCAGAAGGCATTAGAGAGAGTTGGAGGAAACTTATCTGTATATTTTATAAGCCAAGATGCAAGAATATTCCACTGTGCTAGCACATTCCACCCTGCCAACATGTTCTGCCTGACCAGAGGGCTGCTGAAGATCCATGCCAAGCCTCCTGGAACACCCGGCCTCTCTGGAGGCTGGCATTTCTCAGCGGGCCACTTCACCACCTTCACAACAATGCAGAACAAAAATAAACAGGCTAAAGAACAACCATAGTTACCTCTACCCTGTGGGTACTTTGGGCTAGTACTGTGCCAAGAGCCTGATGGCGATCCTGTCACTTGATTCTCTTTATGAGATGAGTGGACTGAGTCCCATTTCATGGATGAGAAAGTTAAGGCTCAGAGAAATCAAGAACTTGATTCAAGTTTTACAGTCTGATAAACGGTTAAGCTGACATTCGAACCCTGGACTATTTCATTCCAGGCTTGGCATTTGTAATCACTAACATATACAGGTTACTTCCACTGGCCCCTTTCCCAGCTTTCTTGGTGACCTAACTAAATACCAACCCTTCTGATTAGCTTTCCTGACACCCCCATGCAAGTGACAGTGTTATTGTGGGTTCTCAGCTCTCTGTGTCTGCTTCTTTCAAACGCTCTCTGTTGTGTTTATGAGCTTCCCCAGGCAGGTTCTAACCATATTCATCCTGCATCTCTTCCCCTACTTCCTGCACTCTCAACCCCAGGTGCAGTCTCTAGCCCGTGGTGGGTACTTGATTCATTTATTTAATGTCGAATGAATAAATGTAATATTGGCAAGAAAGAAAGAAAGAAAGAAAGAAAGAAAGAAAGAAAGAAAGAAAGAAAGAAAGAAAGAAAGAAACTGGCAGTTTTTGAGCCCAGTCACTGTGCTGAGAAAGTTCCCGAGCAGCAGGTTTCCTGTCTTTCCATCTTGGAATCCCCTGCTCCAGGTCTTACCCGAGCATCTCCTCCTATGATACTCTACAGCTATGGTCCGACCCCTGCAGCATGTGCTTGCGAGTTCCCAAGGATGATGGAACTGGAAGAGAGCTTTTTTGGGAATAACTGTCCGAATAGAGTCAGATAACATCCTTGAAGTAGCCACAGCTAACTCCCAGAAGGCTATGCTCCCGGTCAGACCTGGCACCCGCGGGAGGCAGGCGGCTGCCCTGGAGGTCATCGCTTGCCCTGCTTTGAGTCTGTTCTGTGCCCTGTGCTGGCCTGGAATAAACTATGGCATCCTGTTAAGGGGTCTCTCTCCCCGCACCTGCCTCTCACACAGCAGACATGTCTTGTTCTTTTCTTTCCTCTTCCTGGTCCAGAAAGTAGGTAAGAAATGGAGAAGAGGAGCAGGGGACCACTTCAGAGTGTGTGGCTGCTCCTTCAGTCAAGGTCACGGAGAGGAAAGGAACGTCCTGTCTCAACGGAATTCTTCCTCTCTAACAGCGTGTGTCTGCGCATGTGCTGGAGGAGGGGCGGGGGAGACTGGGAGGTGAGACCTCCGCGGGGGGGCCCCAAACTCTATGACACTAGGAAAAGCCCCTCCCAGCCTTACAGTCATAGTCTCGCATCACACCTCCGTCCTCCAAACAACGTTAATAGTATTAACAACGACAACAAAAATAATTGCAACCCACACTTTCTCGTTACTTATTCTGAGCT